CAAGGGAAGGAGTATCCCTTGGGGATGGGTGGCAGCAGGTTCCTCTCTGCAGCCCAGGCAGGTCCAGTCCAAAGTGGGATCATTTTTTTGTTTTTTTTTCCCAATCATGGAAGAAGAAATGAGCCTGAACCATTCTTGATCCTCATTTTGTAGCGTTCCTTCTCTCCTGGAAACTCAAAGTTCCGTCCCTGGGCTTCATCCTCCTATCCTACAGGTCTGGAAAGATGCATGGAATTAGTCACCACTGGAGAAAACAGCTTTTTAAGGGAAGCAGGCTCATGACAAACCTGAGTTGTTGAAATGCAGCACTGTTATTTCCAATGGTTTGGTTTTTTTTAATTCCTCTTGAAGTTTTATCCCTCTCTATTTTTGGGATCCAGGTGTAGGTTTTCCTTATAAATAGCTGCATATTCTAATTCTGGCTGATAACTGGGACAAGGATGCACTGGGCATCCAGACCTTGGTTTTGGGGGGTGGAGAATGCAACATTTCCAGCCAAGCTTTCTGTGAGATCCTTCTCTCAGGAAAACTTTGCACCTGTCAAATGTCCTGAATTCCTTGGATACAATCAAATGGAAGCACTGGGAAGGGTTCATTGCTAAGATAACAAATTTTTGGAACAAGGCGTTGAAGCTCTACAACAACTTTTCCTCTGAGGAGTTCAGAGCCTGAATTTAGACAGAAAAACTCCAGCATCAAAGCTGGCTGATAAATATTCCTCTTATTTTAGAGTCAAGGAAGCCATGTCATAAACCTGTCCTGTGCGACACTGAACCAAAGCCCTTTGCAAAAGTTCATGAAATAAAAAACTCCATGTGGTTTGTGAAGAAATTTAAATGATTAATTACTCCAAAAAATCAAGCTTCAAACATGATCCAGCAAACAGAAACAATTCTGTTTGGAAGAGTAGATTTAATTTGGAATTTAGGAAGGTATTCTTCCTTGTGAGGGTGGCAAGTCTCTGGCACAGGTTTTCCAGAGAAACTATGGCTGCCCCATCCCTGGAAGTGTTTCAGGCCAGGTTGGACAGGGCTTGGATCAACCTGGGATTGTGGGAGGTGTCCCTGTCCATGGCAGGGGGTTGGAACTGGATGATCTTGAAGTCTTTTCCAAATAAAAACATCCTATTATCCCATGAAATATTGTTCATCCATGAAAAAGGGAGAACTATGAAGGATGGCTCAGTTCCCACCCCACCTTCATCTTACCGTAGCCTAAGAAAAGTCCATAAAACTCTGTAATTCACCAAAAATGGGCTTTGGAACAGCATTTCCATCCACGTCTTGGGGAAAAGCAGCTGAATTGTCCCCCAGATCACCCCAGGGGGTTGGACCACAGACTCCAAAGCTGCCTTCCAACCCCATGTATAATTCCAGATCTGAATCCATACTGGGAGGCAACTCCTTTTATTTCTGCTTTACCCCCAAAACACCTTTCACTACACCTCAGCTGCTGTCACATCCAGCTGGATATCTTTCCAAACATCAGCAAGAGTTTCCATTCTCCCATGGATAGCTGTGCTGGCTCCAAGTCCTTCCCAGTTTGTTTGCACAGGGGATGTTGGGGTTGCCATAGGGAGCAGGGATTTGCAAATCCATAACCACAGCCTGGTGACACAGCCCTGCCCTTGAGGGCCTGACTCACGTTGACACAGCCTTGAAGTCAAAGATAATCTTCTTATATAACCACGAGAATCCTCCTCAGAGTGAAGGAAGCCATCCAGATTTGGTTTTAAAATCAGTTTTGAAAATAACTTCCCGGATTTCACGAGCCCACGTTTCTGCTTCCTGGTCCAGGCACGTGCACAGCTCTGCTTGCAAACTGGGATGCTCATTCTGGGTACAATTATCCAGTTTTTTGTTTGTTTTCCAGGAAAGTAAAGCAGCACTGCATGGACAGGTTGGGAGAGCTGGATGCATTCACCTCGACAAGAGAAGACTCCAGGGAGATCTCAGAGCTCCTTCTGGTGCCTAAAGGGGCTTCAAAAGAGCTGGAGAGGGACTTTGGATAAGGGATGGAGGGACAGGACTCAGCGAATGGCTTCCCACTGTCAGAGGGCAGTGTTAGATGGATATTGGGAAGGAGTTCTTCCCTGTGAGGGTAGCACAGATTTCCCAGAGAAGCTGTGGCTGCCCCATCCCTGGAAATGTCCAAGGCCAGGTTGGATGGCGCTTGGAGCAACCTGGGATAGTGGAACGTATCCCTGTCCCAAGGAATTAGAGGGATTAACTTCCAGATAAAACAACTCAACTGTTGAACTGTTGAACAACTCAGTCTGGGATTAACTTCCAGAGAAAACAACTCACTGCTGAAATTCAGACTTCACATTTTCAGGAGCAGTAGCAAAGGGCTTTTTTATGCAGGGACATAAAAGAAAACCTCGTTTCCTCCTCCTCAGGATGTCACTGAAGGGTTCTGCAGTCCCCAGCAGGAAATCACAACTGCCTCGGCCTCTTGGAACACTTCTTCCAAGGAAGAATTAGCAAACACACTGGACTGATTCTATTCTGCAATGATTGGAAGCACGACACGGATCCCTGTGTGAAGCATTCTGGCAGGGCTCTTTGCTGATTCCCAGATTCCTGAGCTATATCCTGCAGTCACCAAGCTGGATTTTACCTGGAGGGCTGCCAAGAGGGAATTCAGCTGCTTTTGCCCCTGGGGACCAGGAAAAAAACCAAAATATATTCAGAGAAATATTGTAGGGCGCTTAGCTCTGTTTACAGCAAGGTTGTGTTTATCCAGAGCCCTGCTGAATCCTACTGCTCCCAAGGGAATCTGTTTAGACAGATCCAGCCCCTTGAGGAGGTTTCTCAGGCTGGAGCTGAAGCAACAAACCAGAGCCAGGTTGTTCAACAAAAATTCGTGCCCGAGCTGAGCTAGGAGGAAAACACAGATCACTTTATTTAATCCCATTAACAAAAAAAAAAATTAGGTGGCAACTTATCCCAGCTCCATACAAGAGTCAGGAAGGTGTGGGGTGGATGTCTGCTCCAAAGCCAGTCTCCACTGACCAAGTAAAGCCCTGCCTGATTTCCTCAGACAGATTTTGGACAAGTTATCCATCTCTCCCTGAAGTCTCCTTGCATTTTGTCTCCTTGTCCTCTCCAAGCATTTCAAAAAAGGTCTAGAAAAGACTGAGCCAAAGCTCTTCAAAGATTCACTGTGACAGGACAAGAGGGAAACCCAAATGATTGGGAGAGCTCAGGAGAGAAAAAAAAAAGGAGCAAATGACTCATTCATAAACAAATCCAGGGAAACTTTCAGGGATAGCTTTGAACAGCCCCCAGGAATGAGGAGGGTCAGAAAAAAACAGATGGACCTGCAGGTCAACTGGATGAGGATGGAATTAAATTTCAGCAAAAATTAATCAAAAACATATCATTCTGTGGTTGTTGGGGGGAAATAAATAATCAGAGGCTTTTCCAGAAGCAGGAAGTTGAGAACAGCTTCACATCAGTTGGAACAGAGCTCATATCTTAATTAAAATATTAATTTTTATATCAGAAAAGACACAAACCACAGAGAGGTTCAGGTTGATGTTTAACCACAAAGCACCACCCTGTGCTTGGAGAGCTCCGCTTCACACCAGGGGGAGCGACTCCAAAGCCTCACCCACACAGATTTTCTGCCTTTCAGACCAGATCTCCCATGATCAGCTGTGATCTCTGCAGGGAACAGCCGGAATGTGGGGAACACGCTGCCAAACTGGGCGGAGATCAAAGGGGTGAAGCACCTGTGGCAAATGAAGGGAGGGAGGATCAGCTCCTCCGCACGCGCCTCCTCAAAGCGATGACGGCTACGGAGCCGCTCCAGTTCAGCCACCTGAGAGGTGGCTGCAATCAGCCGTGCCTGATGATTTTTTGGAGGGTGTGGACCTCAAAAAAAAAAATCTCAGTGGTTCAAGGGAGGCATAAATGAGATGGCTGAAGGAGAAATGGAATTGAAACAAGGGAGGAAATTGAAAAACATTTCACCGCTTACCCCAAACGAAATAGTGGGGCAAGTGTTGGGACTCCCTGGTTTTATCCCAGGTGGCACCTCTGGGGTCAACCCACTTGGCTCCAGGATCTGTGGCTTTGGCAGAGCTGGAGAAATCCCCACCAAGGAGCTTTCAGAGTTTCATGGAATCATGGAATGGTTTGGGTTGAAAGGGACCTTCAAGATCATCTCATTCCAGCCCCCAGATATGAGTAGGGACAGCTTCCACAATCCCAGGTTGATCCAAGCCCTGTCCAACCTGGCCTTAGACACTTCCAGAGATGAGGAAGCCACAGTTTCTCTGGGAAACCTGTGCCAGGGCTTCATCATTCTCCCAGGGAAGAATTTATTCCCAATGTGTGTTCCTTGTAGAATGCCTGGAAATGATGGTGTTTGTGTTCCAATGATCCCATTGGAATAATGATTTACAGGGCACTCAGGTTGGAAAGGCAACCTCAAAATGTTCCTAACCCAAGTTCCTGATCCAAGCTCCCAGTTTTGAGGTCAGCCCAGGTTTCTCAGGACTTTATCCATCTAGGCCATGAAATCTTCCCAAGGATGGGAATTTTGCCACCTCTCTTGGAAACTATGTGTGCCACATGGATGAGTTAATACCACATTTGGGTTGATTATCCCAAATATCAGGATCAGGGTGATAATTGCAGGAGGATATTTTTGCTGGACCTTGGAAAGGGGATTATAAGAGAATGCATAACCAGAGCAGGAGGGATCAAAATGTAGGAGCCTGGAGCAACACACAAGGAATTCAGGGATAATTCAGTAAAGTTCGATTTGTACAGTAAAGATAGATTTTTATTCCCAGTAAAGATAGATTTGTATGAGGAGAGTTGATGGAAGAAATGTTGATGGAAAGTTGCTTCCAGTGAAGGATAATGAGTAATGTCTCATCCATCTGCTGTGAGACTCACCCCAAAACCCAACCCTGTTAACTGCTAAACAATACTGAAAGGTGAAGTTTGGAAATAAAAAAAAAGGAAAATTAAATGTGATTACAACTGTTTTAACACAAGATTCTCTTTATTCTGCTCAAAAGACTACAGAGAACATGAGATTTTAACCTCCCTGGAACAGATCATTGGTATGGGAAGTTCAGGCTCCTGCCTCATATTTTGGACACAGAAATGTCTCCTTAATTTTTTGGGTACAAAGAAGATCTAGGAAAGAACAGCAAAAATGATGGGGTGGAGAGAACCTGCTCTAAGGAGATAGGGAAAGCTCTTCTTAAGATTTCTTGCCTTAAATATACTTCATGCATTTGATTTTTTTACTTCAAACCCAACCAGACCAGCACAGCAAAGAAACTCCGCAGTTAATTTTGGGGCAGTTGTTGAAAAAAATCAATTAAAACATTGAGCTGGGCCTTCCTGAGCTTTGCTTCTCTCTTAGTTGTGGGGAAAGTGTGGATATTAAAAAAAAAAATTAAAATAAAACCAAAAACCAAACCATTTTTGTGAGCTGTTAAGTGTTGTTCATTAGGCATCCACACAGAAAGCTGGGCTGGTGGGGCGGGTATTTTCTTCATGGAATTTTTGGAATAAATTACTCCCGCCATCCCCTCACAGTCTAGTCCAGAAAAAGGCACAGAGGGAACATGCCAGGATCCCAACTGGCACAACGCTGATCCCCAAACTTGCTGCGCCATCGAAGTTGCACAGGTCGGAGTAGCAGCAGCTCACAGGATGTGTCATCCCGATGCCATCCACGTCGGAGGGTTCGCAGACGGAAGAGCACATCTTGGTGACAGTCGAGACTTCCGGGGCAGGATAAACTATGGCAAAGGAAAAAAGCAGGCACAGTTAGGAATGGGAAAAACAGGGGAGAGAGTCACCATTGTCTTTTGTCTTCTGATGACCAGGAGTTGGCGTCATCGACTTGTAGAATGGTTTGATTTGGAAAGGAAATAACGATTGTCAAATTCCAGCCTCTCTACCGTGGGAAACCTTCCACTATCCCAGATTGCTTCAAGCCCTCTCCAACCTGGCCTTGGACACTTCCAAGGATGGGGCACTACAGCTTCTCTGGGTAAACTCTGCCAGGGCCTCACCACCCTCACAGGGAGCAATTTCTCCCTAATATCCAATCTAAACTCACCCTCTTTAGGTTTAAAGCCATTCCCTGTTTTCCTATCACCACATGACCCTGCAAAAAGTTAAAATCTCATTTCTGAGCATTAATCAGGAGCTTGCATACACCGAATATTCCGTCACACAAACACTGCTTCCCACAGCAGCAGGAGAGCTGAAGCTCCCATGGGAGTTCTTCTCCAATTTTTAAGTGGAAAGAGGAACTGGTCTGCACACCAGCACTGTCAAATCAATGATTCCCGTTAAAAGTATCGATAAGGAAGGAATTTTCCTTACCATCCTCCCGGGAATAGATCGTAGTCTTGCATATGTTCTCCGACGCTGTGCAGTTCTCGATTGTCAGGCACTCCTCAACTGGAGTCAAATCCTTGCACGTGTAACACTGCAAGGAGTGTCCTGTGAGGAGGGAAAACAGGAGGATGGAAAACATGAGGATGGCCTCAGTGTGGATCCTGTCTAGGTATCTCTTGGGAGGGATTTTCCAAAATAATCTTGCTGAGAGTGGGAACGGAATAACAGGACGTGTTTGGACTGATGGGATTGAGAAACACAAAGGTCTGGTGGTCAAAGCACAGCCTCAGGTCGGGTTCAGACTCCTTGTGATGAATCAAACAAGACAGCCACACACACAGGAGACCCCATGACACAGGAAAGAGCTTGGGCTGATTTATTTCTCTGTTTTCTGTATTTGTGTCTCTCCTTGACTTTAGCAGAGCATCAGAAAGAGCTCCTTGACTCCCAAACTCCCAGATTCACAGAATGGGGGAGGTTGGAAAGGGCCTCTGGAGCTCCACCAGCCCAATCCCTGCCCTCAAGCAGCACCACCTGAAGCCTCTAATTCAGGACTGTCTCCAGGTGGGGATTTAATATCTCCAAGGATGGAGATTCTGCAACTTCCCTGGGAAACTCTGCCAGTGCTCAGTCAACCTGACAGTCGTAAAGTGTTTCCTGATGTTTCCTGTGTTTCAGTTTGTGTCCTTTGCCTGGTCCTGACACTGGGAATCACTGAAAGGAGCCTGGCTCTGTCCTCTTTGCTCTCTCCCTTCAGGAATTTACAGAAATTTATAAGATTCACAATTTGAACCTTCACTTCTCCAGCCTAAGAAGTCCCAGCTTTTCCTCAGAAGAGAAATGTTCACCCAGCCCATGCCTCAACTGCTTGTCCATAAGGATTTTGGAATAGGTTTTCTAAAGAGGTTGTGGACCTCCCATCCCTGGAAGTGTCCAAGGCCAGGTTGGACAGGGCTTGGAGGAAAGTGTCCCTGCCATGGCAGGGGGTGGAACTGGATGATCTGCATGTCTCTTCCAACCCAAACCATTCCCTGATTCCACGATCTTATAGAAGAGAGCATCAAAGTCCTTCCTGACGTCCAGGTAGAAAACATCCGCAGCTCATCCCTTGTCTGCCAGATCAGTCACTTTATCACAGAAATGTGTCAGCTTTGTCAGGTTTGTCCCCTTGCTGAAGGATCTGGACACACACACAAAAAGGTCAGACTTGGGCGTGAGTTGCAGCAGTGAGAATTTCCTTGGTGCCACCCACTCTGCCAGCTCTCCCCACAGGCTGGGAGGGTGTCCCAGACAGAAGGAATTTGTCTCCACCAAACTGAGAACAAACTGAGCACAACCCTTCCCCTTGTGCTGAGATTCTGGGTTTGTGAGAAGAATTTTTCTGAGGGGTTATTTTAAATTGTAGAACAGTTTGGGTTGGAAGGGACCTTAAAATCTTCCAATTCCAGACCCCTGCCCATGAGCAGGGACACATTCCACTATCCCAGGTTGCTCCAAGCCCTGTCCAACCTGGCCTTGGACACTTCCAGGGATGGAGCAGCCACAGGTTCTCTGGGAAAACCTGTGCCAGGACCTCAGCATCCTCACAGAGGAGAATTAAACCAGACAGCAGCACCATGAACGGATTGCATGTAACAAGTTCTGCTCTAGGCAGAGATGAGACAGAAAATTGTTATTCAAGACTTCAAATCCATCCTGAGCCAGTTCCTCCTGCCTTGTCCCTCACTATTTCAGAGGCATTCCTCATCCCTGTAAGGCTGTAAAGCTCTTTGAGGGCTGCAGGTGCTTCTCACAGAATAACCACAGCCCAAAACTTTCAGTGCCTAAAGTCTTCTGAGATGGAGCAACTTCGGAGAAAACAACTGAAGAACCCAGAGTTTTGTGACACAGAGCGCTCCAAGCTAAAAATACCAAATCAAAACAATGTCTGGTGCTTCCTATCACCAAAAAAAGCCATTTTTTTACAAGTTTTTCAGGGTATTTTCCTCTTTTCAAGTTTTTCTGAGGAACCCAACACTTGATCTGGGTTCTCTTCTCCAGGTGCTCTCTTCCACCCCCCCCAGTAGACACCTCAATATGTGTGTTACAACCACACTGATGTATTTTGGTGCCATCACACCCCAACAGCCCCTCTTCAGTCTGGGAAGCCTTTGTCACCCTGTGTGTGTGACGTTTCCACTGAAATTCCTTAAAACTTCACTAAAAAGGAGAAATTATTCAGCTTCTCCCAGCACAGCTCCAATGGGATGTCAGCAGGCTCAGGCAAACAAGTCACCCCGTGAAAACAGACACCATCCTAATTAATGAGCCAGAAAAAGCCCTTTTTAAACAAACACAGCAATTTTCCTGCTAAAGCAAACTTTATTCTCTTGTTTTGTCCATCATGACCTGATGCTTTGTTTGCACTAATCCACGTCTGACAGTTGTGAAACTCATTTTTAGGAGGAAGCATCGCTCTTAGTCTCACATTTCAGGATCCTGGACAAATCCAACCCACAGGATTTGTGTTCCTCTCTGAAAAGAAAACCAAACAAGCCACCACCTGTTTCTCCCCTGCAGAGTCTGCTCAGCAAGGAGGGAAGAACCAAAAATGTCCTTGCCGAAGAAAGAAATAAATAGGAGTTTAAAAATCCTGACATAGCTCCATAGACAGGCACAGATAAAATCAGACCTGGCACTGCCTGGATCTGAGAATATCCCAATGAACAGTCACAGATCCTGGACTGATCCTGCCCATGAATTACCTTGGACATCCAGGAGAGCACAAACAAAGCTTGGGATCATCAATTTTTGTCCAAGAAATTGGTGTGGTGGTAGAAACAAGGGACAGAATGGAGGGAGGATCATGGAATTATGGAATGGAATCACAGAATGGTTTGGGTTGGAAGAGTATGATCGTGGAATTCCACCCCCTGCCATGGGCAGCAGCACCTTCCACTGGACCAGGTTGCTCCAAGCCCAGCCCAACCTGGCCTTGGACACTTCCAGGAATGAGCATCCACAACTTTTTGGGGTAATCTGTTCCAGTACCTCACTTTGATCTTTAAAGCCCCTCCTAACCCAAACCATTCCATGATTCTATGATAAACATCAACCCTGGAGTACCTGGGCCACCAGCAGTGTCCCAGCCCATCCTTCCCATTTCTAACAGCTAAAACTGGATAAATCCCACGTGTAACACTTTTGGAGAGCTCCCACACATGCTGCATGGAACTGACATCCAGGGCTAAGTATCAAAAAAGGTGCAGAAAGTTAAAAATAATGTTTTAAAAAAAAAGAGTGAGATAGAGCACGAATATGGAAAAAGTGAGAGTGGGAATTTGCATCAAAGGAATGACACGGTTTAATCACACTCTGCCCTGTGAAACTTCCTAAAGAGCTTGACCTGACAATCCCAATGACACCATCACCATCCTGAACGTATGGAAATATTCCAAAGACAGATTTTTTTTTTCCCTGACAACTGCCTAAAGTCAGAGACTTGGCTTTCAGAACAGGGCACATCCTATCCCATCACACTGCATCTCCTGAAGGAGTCTGGATAAATCTGAGTAGGAACTCACCCAAATCCATGCAAGTGACAGCAGCCAACAGAAGAGACAGAAACACATTCATCTTGCACATCCCTCGCTGTCTGGCTACTGGGTTGTCACCACTCTTCACCGATGTCACACGTCCCAGTGATTTGCCATGCACCGATTCTGTCCCCAGATTCAAATCTACTGGAAAAACCACTCTTCTTGAGCTATAAATGAATTGAAGGAGCTCAAAAGCAGGCCCCACCTCTTGCTACTCCGTCATGTCTTTTCATGTTCCTTGGAGAAGAAAATTTGGTTTTGCAGGGTGGACAATGGCTGGGATTGGTTAAACCTGGTGTTTTGTGTCCAAGCAGGATGTAGAAGGCCCGGGGTGTTAAGTAATCCTGGTCGTGTCTTGCAGCTTGGGGATATTTTCTCTCCTTTTTTGGAGTGGTTTCAGGAAATCCTGGGTAAAAACACCTTGGTGGGTGTGAACACCAAAGAATTGAACCTCATGGATATTTCTCCTCTGCATTTTCACCTTCAGTGGGGTCCAGAGTTTATCAGGAGGAGGAGAATCATGGAATGGTTTGGATTGGAAGGGATCACCTCATTCCAAACCCTCTGCATGGGCAGGGACAACTTCAACTAGACCAGGTTGCTCCAAGCTTTGTCCAGCCTGGTCTAGAAGTGGAAATCTGACTTTCAATCACTCACTCACTGGAAAAAGCATGGAGCACTAGGAAAAAAACAGGACCAGGACCCAAAAGCTTGGGCCAAAGGAATCTCTCAGGCTCTTTATCCCAAGGAAGGATGGAATGGAGATGCCCCTCTGCTCTGAGCCAACCCTCTCCAAGTGTGGTTGCAAGCTCATGACCTTTTGCTTCCCAAACACCTTTCCCATTCCCAACCCTGCTGCCCGAGGCACCTGCTGGATTTTCCTGCACCCTCAGGCCAGCTCCATGCTAGGAAATCCTCCTCCAACACGGGACAAGCAAAGTGTGGAATTGCAAAAACTGGGAAAAAGATCCTTTTGGTGGTTATGCCAGGCACCCTCTCAAAACAGACTTTTACTAAGGAATGGGGAAAATCTTCATCCAAAATTGTGCTGGAGATATCCCCACCACCTTTGTTATTCCACCATCAAAGGAACTTTGTTCAGGGTTATTCACTTAAACTCTTGGAATGATAGAACCATTAAAGTTGGGAAAGATGTTGGGATCGTCACATCCAGGGTCAAACCAGCACCACCACCATTTTCTCCACTAAATCCTGTCCTCAGGTGCCACATCCACAGGATTTTTGAGCACTTCCAGATTTGTGACTCCATCACTACCCTGGAGAATGTTCCAATGACTGACAATCCTTTCTGCAAATAAATTTTCCCTAATATCCAATCTAAACATTCCCTGGTGCGACTTGAGGCCAATTTGTCTTGTCTTGCCTTGGAATTTTAAAAGTTTTTCCAGGAATGCTGGGTAAAAAAGTCCAATCGTCATCTCTCCAAGTCTAAAGCTCCACAATCATAGAATGGCTTGGGTTGGAAGGGAACTTAAAGACCATCCAGTCCCAACCTCCTGTCATGGGCAGGGACAACGTCCAATATCCCAGGGTGTTCCAAACCTCATCCAACCTGGCCTTGGACACTTCCAGGGATGGGCCAGCCACAGCTTCTCCCAAATTCCATCCTAGGGCCTCCCCACCCTCACAGGGAAGAATTTTTCCCTAATATCCAATCTAAAGGTGGTCTCAGCATTTCAGCAATCCCTGCTGCTTTTCCAAACACCACTTCTAGGAGACTTCCATCCTCAGGAATTCCAACAGATTGTTTTCACAGTTGCCTCTCTAATACAGTAATTATGTGGATTATGAGAGCTAAGCATTTATTTCCAGCCCTAAAAATTACCTAGGGAAAGACATTTAGGTATATTCCACGTCTGGCATTCCTCGTGTTCAGCAGAAAACATTATAATCCTATTAAAAAGGTGAAATCCTCTGACGGTGTTTGCCTTATTCATAAGGAACCAAAAAAAAAAAAATTTAAAACATGGATAGGGTGTGGCTTCTGGTTTCTGGTATTAAGTGGCCTCAAACAATATGTGTTAAATGACTGGTTCCACCTGCACATCTGAAATGTGATCTCCCTCGCCTTAGAAAATCTTGGATGGAAGAATCTTTGCCACCACCCTGCTCTAAATCCTCTTCCCTCCTTTGCTCGAGAGGGTGGTTTTGGAGGGGTGTCAACACACCTTGTTTATGGTTTCAGTTGATCTTATCTGAGTCCTGAAATGTCTCCTATTTTATGCACACCCTGTGCTTCTGCTTTCGGGGCTAGCAACTCACACAGGAAAAAAAAAAAAAAAACAATTAACAAGAAATAATGAGAATATTCAAATATTGTTTTGTTGAATTAATTTTATTATTTTGTAGAAAACCACAACCTGTCCTATTGGAGGGGAGGGGGGGAGGGTTGCCACTAATTACAGAAAAAAATCTAAAATTACACACAATCTGCATAAATCTGCCTTGTCACAAGTTGGTTTTTTAAAAAAATATAAATTTTTAGTGTATCTGTTCAAAGGGAAATTAATACAACTCCAGCACTTCAGATGAGTTTGTTGTCATAAACAAAAGGGAAAGTTCAGCCAAATGTTTACTTCCAGCCTGGGAATTCTGTGCCAAGCTCTCTTCCTGTCCTACCTCGCCAGCTGAGGCTGTCTCAGGGTGGAGGCACCTTCACCAGCCCTGCCTCACTTGCATCCAGCCTGGAAATCCCCAAATCCCACAAACTCCCAGGCTGCACAATCCCATTGCAAATCCTAAAATTCCCCATCCACCTCCAGGGCAGAGTTTCAGGAACAAAGGGCTGCAGGTGCTGAAAGCCTGCTTGACTTAATTATTTTGAACTCTCCATATTCATTACTCTAATCAGCTCTTGATGTATCCCCTATTATTCCCAAATTTCCAGAGTAGGCAGATGCAGGAGTGGAAGATTGGATTTAAGGGTGGGGAGGTGCTGACATGACCCTGTTAGGTCACACATGTCAACAAAAGTGCTACGCTTTTGTTGGAGGACGACTTAAAGTTCATCCCATTCCAACCCTTGCCATGGGCAGGGACATCTTCCACTATCCCAGTCTGCTCCAGATGCTGTCCAACCTGGCCTTGGATACTTCCAGGGATGGAGCAGCCACAGATTCTCTGGAATTCCATTCCAGCCCCTCCCCACCCTCACAAGGAAGGATTTCTTCTCAGTATCCTATTTAACCATACCCTATTCCTGTTTAAAGCAATTCCCTGTGTCCTGTCCCTTCATCCCTCATCCCAAGACCATCTCCAGCTCTCCTGGAGCTCCTTCAGGCACTGGAAGCTCTCCCTGGATCCTTCCCTTCTCCAGGCTGGGCATTCCCAGCTCTCCCAGTCTGGCTCCAGAGCAGAGGAGCTCCAGCCCTTGGAGCATCTCCATGGCCCCCTCTGGACTCGTTCCAGCATCTCCATGAGTCAGGGATGAAAGGCACTCATGGAAGCACCAAGGAAGGGTTACTCTGAACACTCAGCTGCTGCTGGGAAGATGCCAGGGATTAAATCACCATGAATTTCACCTCTGGGAACATCACAGTCCCCACCTGTCCCTCACAGAAACCAAAATTTATCCGGAGCTGAGGTTCTTGCACCAGAAAGAGAGGAATTAAGCAGGTATCCCTGCCCTTCTACATCTCCTCCACTGATGAGGAATGTCTTTAACTTTTAAAGAGAATGAAGAGCAAAGTGAAAAATAGAGAAAGCCAAGCCTGACTCCAGCCTATCCCCATGAATAACGAGTCAGGAATCCAACCCTGCAGGTCTTTTAGAGCCATTTTCACTAAGCCACCACTCATTAGTTCATTAGTCACAGCAGCCTTATTCCTCCTAATTGATTTTACTACAATCCCCGACAATGTATGGCCAGGATCCAGCATGTCTCTGCCTGGTTTAAAAACCATTTCACTGGCACAGCTTTGGAGACACTTCATCCCTCTTCCAAGCCTCTGGAATGCGTGTAAAGGTCAGGTGATTCCCATAACTGAGCTTCTGGAAGGTGCCCTCAGGGAAAGGACATGTGTTCCTTCGGTGGGACAAGGCATAGGCTCAAAGGACCCATCTGAGCAGACAGTTGTGGCTTTCCCAACTGGGAGCAGGTGGGTTTGACACAGATTGGAGCTGCAGATGGATGCAGGAAGTTTGGCAGCTCTCCCCACACTGGTTTTAACCTCGGCACTGAACTGAACCAAGAATGGTTTGGGTTGGAAGGGACCTTCAAGATCATCTCATTCCAAACCCCTGCCATGGGCAGGGACACCTCCCACTGTCTCCAGGTTGATCCAAGCCCCATCCAACCTGGCCTTGAAGGGATGGGGCAGCCACAGCTGCGCTGGGAATTCCAGCTCCTCACCACCCTCACAGGGAAGAATTCCTTCCCAATATCCCATCCATCCCTGACCTCTGACAGTGGGAAGCCATTCCCTGTGTCCTGTCCCTCCATCCCATGTCCCAAGTCCCTCTCCAGCTCTCCTGGAGCCCCTTCAGGCACTGGAGCTCTCCCTGGAACTTTTTCTTCTCCAGGCTGGACATTCCCAGCTCTTCCCACCTGGCTCCAGAGCAGAGGGGCTCCAGACCTTGGAGCATCCCCATGGCCTCCTCTGGGTTTGCTCCAGCAGCTCCACATCCTTGTGCTGAGGCTCTCAGAGCTGGATACAGAACTCCAGGTTCTACAGGGAGTGCAGCAGAGGGAGGGAATCCTATTCCTCGACCTGCTGGTCACATTCCTTGTGATGCATCCCAGGGATCTGTTGTCTCCTGGCTCCAGCAGAGACCTGAGAGAATTTGATTAAAGCCAGATCCAAGGCAGACAGGTCAGACCACCCCACAAAGCATTCCTTAAATCTGCAGCTCATCCCAGATTCCCACCAGACCTCGCCGTGTCCCACTCTCTGCCCCAGCCGTGTGCTGTGATCTGCCCCTGGGGCTCAGAGAAGCTTTGGATGTTCCTCAGGAGAAGAAGACAGGAACAAGATTATTTATTTTTATAAGGAATCCTGTTATAAGGTAATCATTCACCTGC